GGTATATGCTGACATGATCATGATATTTTGGCTGCTCGTGTCTATATACTTCAGGTTTTAATTTCTTATTCATCGAGTAAGCTGGATCCATGTGTGGAAATGCCAGTTCACTCACGACTGACATGAGTTCGTCTTCATGGTTAAGTTTAGTCTTCAGTTCCCCTGTCATGCAGTCACCGTACCGCTACAAGAGACACGCGTACAGACGGAAAGAAATCCTACTCTCAACTCCGTAGGTAGTCAAGTTGCTGGTTCTTTGTAATTATATGCTCGTTTTTCGTTGTATCATTAGACCAGAAGTTTTGTACCAGAGTGAAATCGAAGTCTTGTGAATTTGGTGATTTTCGATATCGTTGAGTGCTATTGCATATTGAAGAATGTTTGGTTCCGACTTTCGGGCATTGTGTGAGAATGCTGACTGCCGGTGAATATTGAAGCCAATATTGAATATTGGCTAATGTGCGAGGGTCTTGCAATTCAGGTCAATACTAGAGAATTTTGTGGAAAATGTGGAAAGTTGGGGTCGAGGTTGTAGTTTTAAGCTCTGGTTGTATTACGATATGTAATACGACGTTTCGAATATTCAATAATGCAATAACAAGCACGTGAAGAGTAATTACAACGCTTAAAATTGAAATTTGGACATGACATAAGTTCATACAGAAAGTATCGCAGATACGGTTTAAAATCGTAAATTAAAATAATCCGAGAATAATTTCAACGTCCTGACGAATCCGGCGGTTTAGAAATTGATAGCAGGAGACTCGTCCTTGATGATGAGAGCCTCCGCTATCGACAGTCTCGTAGTGTCAGGGCACCGCATGATGATGTTGGTGCAGGCCTCTAGCATGACACGGGTGATGGTCTCGTTGTGGGCCTCCCGCATATGATTATTTGGTAATCCAGCTTGCAGATGCCATGGTAGTGTGTGGCTCAATGTCGTGCTGATCAAACCATGTAATTTACATTTTGGAGAAGTCTACAACCTTCTTTCAAGCAAAAAAATTTGTAAATGACATAGGTTTCCTGCAGCGGACCGGACTTTTTACATGGATTGTTTTTCATGATTAAATCTTTGATCTTTTTGTTTCCGTAGTAAATAAAAAGTTGTATTCGGTTACTTACTGTTGTGCCGCTGATGTTATTTTGCACAATTGAATTGAGTACTCGTTTGTCAGTCCTATGACCGCTGATCATCTGATTTTGATTGTAAATTCTGGTGACGCAACCTCTTGATGTGGATTCGTAGAAAAATTCAATCAAACCTGTATAAATGAAGAACTTCTGCCTATAACAACACTAATATATATACTTATGCAGGTTTGATTGAAGACCAGAGCATACTTTTTAGTAACAATTTTCTTTTAATTTTTTTTTCAATAAACCAAACGAAATTTCTTGCTGGTGCTTGGAGATCAAAAAGCAGGTTACCAAATGACATTTTACTGGAATACGGCGTTTCGAATATTCAATGGTCAAGGTGAAGAGTTATTACAATGCCCAAAATTGAAATATGGAAATGATATAAGTGCATACAAAAAGTATCATAGGTTCAAAATCGAAAATTAAATTAATCCGAGAATAATTCAACGTCCTGACGAATCCGGTGGTTTGCAAATTGATAGCAGGAGACTTGATGATGAAGGTCTCCGCTATCGACAGTCTCGTAGCGTCGGGGCAGCGCATGACGATGCTTGTGCAGGTCTCCAACGTGGCACAGGTGATGGTCTCGTTGTGGGCCTCCCGTATATGATTCTTGATTCTCCGGATTGATGATTTTTGATTTTCATGCCGATCTAACCGGACCTCTTTTGACTGATGGAGAGGAAAAAATTGCTGAAATCCATTGCACGTTTCAAAGAGCCAGTCCACGCATTTCATGCTTCATATCCTCATAAATTTATCACAAATCATTTCCTGATTGCGTAGGAAAACTGTTGAGGAATTAAACTTTCATTCTGTCCTGTTCGTGGTATCGATTCAAGCATTCTCCTCATTTCCGAAACAATTCCTGCTGGAACGTGTACGTCCTTGATAGTTTGATTTGCTTATCGTTTTACAATCACTCAAGTAGCAGGCATCATCATTGGTATAGAAAAATGGCGAATTACATATTAATTTTTAATATTAATTGAATTAATCGCCGGTTGCATTTGTCAGTACATTTTTAACTGATCATGACATGAGTAGTAGTGTAGAAGAGCAGCTCGCTATTATCTCTTTTTCAGGGGTCCCTTTTTTGCGGGGTGACCCGCAGTGATCTTTGTCGTATCATTTACTTTTTTAACGTTATTCTGGGCTAAAGGTTGCGGCGATTGCCATACAACAATGGCTTTTCTAACATAACAAACAATCAATGAAAACGACAAATAACGCTTAGTTCTAGAATTTGCCGTAGTGGCTTGTAAGTTTCTGAAATATCCATGCTTGATATTTATTGTAGATTTGACCATCTCTATGCATTGTGCATGAATTTATTTTGCATAGAATAATAGTATTACCCCGTTGCCGTATGCTTATTCTAATATTGGCCCTAATATTTGTATTATCCCGTTGAAGTATGAATTAAAGATTTGGTTAAATTTTATAATGTGTGAAGTTATCTGATGTGTGTTTTTCCCTATCTTCTAGGAAGGTATGACGTGTATGTTTTAGTTTACGTTTATTGGACGTCAAAAATTTATTGTTCCTAAAATTCCACCATAAAGACTCAGCCTTCGATAAAATTCCGGACCCTAAGTTTCCATCTTTTCAATAATACAACACTCGTATCTGGTCAGCTGAAGCTGCTAGTTCAAAGCTACTTCTCTATCACAATACATAGCCATATGTTGACAGCTCTCTCATAGCAGTAGTATATACTTGGAAAAATAGCTGAAGCTAAAATTTATAGCATGATTTCTGAGATGCTTTGGCGAAATATCTGAAAGACTGGGCATATATCAACGGTCATGCTTAGAGGCAAACGCTCAGTAACAGCTTCAAACAAATGCGGCATGTCATTTGAATCTATTGTAAACGAATTTTCATTATTATTGAGACTTGAGAAAACATTTGCTAGCGTACTACAGATGTTCTAATGTTGTAGAGTACCCAGTTAAAAATCCAAGGCGTATCGCCGGCGTGTTTGGGTAGATTAAGGTAGAGACGCTCGGTTGGGGCGCCTGAGTAACATCTCCGCATCATCGGCGAAATGTCAATTTTTTTATGCGCGACGGTTCGCTCTTAAACGGCACGCTGTGTCTTCTCATACTGTAATCTTGCTGTTCATTATTCTTGCCGAGGTGGATTACTTTACATTTGTCAGCGTTAAAACGCAGCTGCCACTTATCAGCCAAATCAACCAGCCTGTTAAGATCACCTGGTAACTGTACTTTTTGACTGCAATTTCCGCAACAGCCGCTAATGTGGGACACTGTCAAATGCCTTGGCAAAATCGAGGTACACTGCATCTCCTGGCTCCCTTTCGTCCAGCAGGCGGGTCCATTCGTTCAGAGTAGACTAGAAGTTAGTGGTGCAGGATATCCGGACAATAAAGCCATGTTGATAGTCTGAAAGGAGATTATTAGCAGTCAAAGGATCTATCAATCGATCCCTCACAACAGATTCCATTACCTTGCAAACGACACTTGTCAAACTGACAGGGCGATTGTTGCCCGGACAGCTTATGTCACCTATTTTGAATAATGGTGTCACTTGAGCTTCTTTCCAGTTAGCCGGCAAGATCACTTCGTTCAAAGTTTTTCGAAAAAATGACGTCAAAGGGTTGGCTAGGACAGTTGCTATTTCTTTGAGTAATCTGGGGTGGAAGCCGTCTGGTCCACATGACTTGTTTGGATTTACACCGGTAAGGCGCTTGAGAACCTCTTCTTCTTGCATTTCAAAACTTGTTAATTTAGTGCCAACTGGGCGCTCCTCAATAGCTGGAATACTGTTCAATTCCTCTTCAGTGAATACGCTACTGAGAAACTGATTAAGAACGTTAGCCTTGCTCTCATCAGGATATCTTTCGTTGATCTACTTTCAAATCAGAAATTCCGTCCTTTATATTGCACTTCGAGCTAGCGCACAAAAAGAAGGCTTTCGGCTCCTTTTTTGCATGTTCAGCAATATTTTTTTCGAAGATTTTTACTGCAGTGCGACAGCTTTCTTTAGCTTGATTTCGAGCTCTTGCGTATAGGTTATAGTTAGCATCGCTACGAGTCTGTAAATAACGATGTTAGGCTTCCTTCTTTGTTTTCAGCTTAGCTAGAACTGTACTGTTCAACCACTCATATGAGATGAGCGAGCATGCTTGAGCATTGGCTGAAGACCTACGGCGCTATTATCTTTCAGCAGTGTTTCACTTGTCTGGATTACGGAGTTGAAGCGTAGTTTGCGGCTTCTGGCTCTGAGGCTGAGTAAAGTTAATGCATGATGAAGCTGGGCGTTGGCTCCAGTTCTGTGGTACGTAAATACACCTTAATTTTGGCATTATCAAAACTTTCGTACGCAAGTCTTAGCTATAAGCTTAAATTTTTTTCCCGCGCAAATTTTTCCCGAGCAAATGTTTTTATAATACCACCGTTAGTATTACGTTGTCATAGCAACGCCACTCGTAAGTCGATTGTGCGTACTTACGAAGTTTTGATAATACGGCCCCAGGGCTTATTTAAGTGTAAAATCAGTGGCCTACGGCTGCGCCCCCCAGGCCGTGCATTACAAGGGGGGTTTTGAGAGGGAGGTGGGGTAAGAGTTGGAAACAGTGGCGGGAGAACGAACTCCATCCTCTATCTAGTTCATTCGTAATATACGATATTTTGAGCCAATTTCTGTAGCCAGATATGATATTTTAAGCAGGTCATTATTTTACTACTCTGAATTACGTAAGAATTTTACTTGCTTTTCCAGTTTTAATACGCAAACATAAATGTTTCCGCTCTTCCACACCTTTCGAAAGCAAGATATATCTATCAGTTTATCATGAGAAAATTTTCTAACTTGATGTACAGAAAACGATACATGACAATGAATGTGAAAGAAAAGAAAACACCAACGGAATTCACCATATTTTCAATGAAAATTTTAAACTCATCACCAGTTAATAAAATTGATAGAATTTCCCTGCGTTTCGGTGGTGGCCTCCGAAACGTTTTCAATGAAGATATGGTGAATTTATTTGACACTTTCTTTGCTTTAAAACTCTTGATGAACGTGCGAATTAAGCAGACTAATGATTTGAGTACGTTGTTANATTAAAACATAAATTTTTCAATTTTTTTGTATATTTTTTTCAAAATTATTTATTCTGTCAATTGATTCATGAATTGCCTCCGACTTCACACAAGTATGCAAAATTTCAGATCAGTTGGACAGGTAAAAGTGCGTCAAATATCAATTATAAAATTTGTGGCTGACAAAATTATTTTGTCAATTTTTAAATTTTTTAATATTGAAAATTTTTTTAATTTTTAAAATTATTTATTTTCTCATTTAATTCATGCATTGTCTCCAACTTTACGCTAGTGTGCAAAATTTCAGATCGATATGATACGTAGAAGTGTGTTGAATTTCGATTATAAGATTTGTAGCAGACAAACAAACAAACAACAAGAAGTGAAGTAAAGAGGTGATGTAAAAAGCTGAGGCTTAAGCCGGTAAACGCTGATTTTCGGTGAACAGATGTCTGGAAACGGCCATCAGATTTCGTGAACTTGCAATCAAGAAAAGATTATTTATTGTTGGATTCAAGCTCCATAGTAAATTCGATGGACTTGTGTTGCAGATTAACATAATCAAAGAAAAAGCCCACATGTGGGCCCCAATCGAAGAAGAGGCCCACATGTGGCCGTACGCTTTCTTTGCTTTTGCGAAGTATATTGTATTCAATGCGCGTCCACTCAGCTTGCCGCTCGTTAAGTACTTTCTTGCGGAAGATAAGGTAGTGATATCGGTGGGGAACATTATCATTCCGATATGGCGTCTTTCCAGCCGCAGGTCTGCGCGAAAGCTCATCGGCATCATCACTGCCGCCTATATGGACTTGACCAGGGGCCGAATTTTCAAAACATCGTTATGTACACGTAGCGACTTATGTACACGTAGCGACTTAAGTGTGGCACATATGAAAACGTGCAAAGATTCAAATGTCCCTCCCTTCCCCCAGTATACGGGGGGAAAGGAGGGGGCATTTTTGAACGCACCTTTTGGATTTGACCGTGTCCGTTAGAATAGAATAGAGTAGAAGTGTCGGCACTGAAGAAATAGGCCCATGGCCTGTTGCCGATTCTTGAATTTTTCGTGACCTGATTCACAAGGGATCCAGCCTTTGAAACCCGATCTTTCCAGAACTGACGATTGATTGAGAAAGCTGCTGGACTTGTTGCTTGGTCCGTAATTTGCTAGGCATTTTAAGACTGAACATATGCTCCTGCGTAATTTCGTCTAGTCTGTTCTTGAAGGCGTTCATACTCGGAGCGCCAACGATGCTATCAGCCACTGAGAGAAATTTTTGCCTCCAAAAGCGTAAATATTTAGTCATGGCAGTCGTTAGCGCCAACCTTCACAATTCAAATTTGCTCGATAAGAATTTGATAAAATTCAAACAGCGAGCTTTTTCGGTTACCGCATGTTGTTTTTCACTAATATCTAGCATTTATATGGCTAAGAATGTTATCAATTGATCCATTGCAAAATTTTAAAGTCAAACAGCCAACACGATTAACTCGATTTCGCTCTGGGTTAAATTTGCTGAGAAAACAATTCTATATACCGATGATATTTTCAAAATTTCAGTCCCTCCACTTCTATTGTTTTTGCAGCGATCAATTCGAGGCTAGAGAAGAGACTATTCATGCCAACATTTTTGGGCAGAAATGCTTTCTTATCAAAATGGTAATTTTATTAAATTCTGGAATTTTCACTAGTCACTCGGGCAAAATCGTTACCACATCCTGAAGATGCCCCAAAAGAGTCCAAATTGTCTGGGGCGGAAGAGCAGAAGCAGTTACAGCGGCAGGTCAAGGTGTTAGTATTGGTGATGACTCAGCCAAAAAACCACAAAACGAAAGCTATGTCGGTTCGTGACACTTGGGGCAAGAGGGTCGACAAGCTTCTCTTCATGAGCAGCAGAGAAGGTAATTTGAAATTAAAACGCATTTCCAAATCTCAATTATTTAGTAATCAAAGACGCGTTGTTGCATTAAATATTTACTGTAATAAATACGATTATAACTGTAAACTTATTTACTGTAATAATACAATAAATATATCACTTTCTAATAATATGAAGGAAAATAATGTGACAGAATGATGATTTTTACATTTATTATGCGATAAACTTTAATTTCCGTGCGTAAATAAGACTATTTGAACAAATGGTTGTAATAATAAATCAAAAGTCGATTGGTTGTCTTCAGTTGGCGTATTTCAATCAATTAATGGAGAAATATACATATAATAAGTGAATGAATTAAACCCATTATTAGATTATCAAGAACTTTTTTTGCGTGTGAAAAAATAACAGAAACTGTAATCAACAGATGATTCATTACCAAGCGTCAAGTTGAACGTGACTGAAAGGTATGATCACTTATGGGGCAAAACTAAAGAAGCCTTCAAGTACGTACACCAGCGTTACATTGATTACTACGACTGGTTCATGAAGACGGATGATGACACGTGAGCCTTTAATCTTACCTTCGTTGAGTGTACGGTNATGTATTGAGGGGAGCGTCTACCCTAAAAATCGAAATTTTCGGCTTTTCCGGTTTTTAAACTCATCTTAAAGCTTATTTTCTGCCGCATCGAACGGTACTAGAACCATCTCTGTACGCTGATTTATGCGTTCAGGACAGATTCCGAAAGGGGGGAGGGTGGTGGGGTCCCTTCACAAAAGTCCATGGGGATAACGGCCAAGCCCAATAAAATATGCTATCACTGGACCTACAGCTTAGTTACCATTCAGCCATTATTCGGAAAGGTGTTGATGTAGTCGTCCTATGCACCGCTGACTGATTTTGAAGTGAGATAATGCTTACTTTCAGTATCTACGCTACGTTACATGCCTTTACATAGCGCGCCGCGGTTTTTCGCCTCTACTGAAAAGTTAGAAAACATGAAAACCTCTCTCACGGCAAACCTATGTCCTCCTAGAGTTTTCAAGCTGCAACAATGAGACATATACCATTCGATGCGCAAAAAAGATCTACAAATCGCTATAAGCGTTTTTTTCTAATTTCGATCTAGTTTGGATTTTATTCCGCAAAAAGGGGGGTGTGGGGGGTAAAATCGAAAAATTTCCGAAAAATTTGCGAAAAATGCCCCACACCCACAAAAATGAGAATTTCAAAACACACGTACAGCGTTTTATAGATATGGTCTTTACGCATCGAATGATATGTGTCTCGATATTGTACCTTGAAAATCCTAGGAGGCGATAGATTTCTACAGTACCCCTTTTTTGGCCGTTTTCTAAGATTTTCACGTTTTCTTTCATTTTTTTCGAAAAATTCACATGAACAAAAAAGTCTTAGATTTCTTTTTTACATATGTGTACCAAGTTTCAGAGTGATCCGTCCGTAAATAGCCGAGATAAATTTTACCCTAGACGCTCCTCTTAAAAAATGAAAAATTAATTTTTTTAAATTAGAAAATTAAATGAGAAATTCATTGTACAACTGTAAGATTGGAGACACTGAATTCTTTGGAAGTGTTGTCTTTAAAAAGTAATTTTTAAACGTATAATTTCAAATTTAGTTTGCTTTTGGACTTTTTAATTTTCTTTTAAGCAGTTGATTCATAAGTGGTCGTCAATGAGGATAATATCGTCAATGATGTCGGTCATCGAGGGCCTTTATTGTCACTTCCTTTTGAAATTACGAACACCTGATTGTATATGAATTGGTTTTTTAGGATTGCAGCCATGCGCTCAGAAAGAGCTCAAATCGAAAAGTAATAAATTACGATGAAAATCAAATATTACCGAATTAGACTGATACTTTTTGATGTTATTATAACAGACAACTCTTGTTTTGCTATGAACTTGTTATCCACACGAGTTAGGGTCTCAGTTTGAAACCTCACTAAGTTTTTTTATGTACCGCGATGAGGATGTGTGTCGTGATTTTAGATGACATCGATCCTTTTCGCACGAAAAAACAAATAAATTATGCAACTCGAACTAACTTCTATAGTTGTATTCATTTGTAATAATTAACACTGGAAATAATATCTGAATTCAACTACAATTTAACAAAAAAAACGGTCGCTGGGATTTTCTTCTGGTGAATTGTAACAGGTTTGGGATCTTTGTCATCACGTACATTATCTATTAGATGGGAACATATTTAGGAAATAATTAGTGCTATAATTTAATCCTTAAAACTTTTTTCAGGTTCGTGGTGGTTGAAAATTTACGCTACATGCTCAGCCTCTACGACCCGGAGATACCGATTTACTTCGGCTGCAAATTTAAGAAATTTAACCCCCAGGCTTTCATGAGCGGAGGTATTGTGCATATTTATACACTTTCGAACACTGTGAACTTTTTTTTTTAATGAAGCTACTGAGGATAATGTGATGTTGCCAAGTGTCAGCTGATAAGGGTTGGTCTGTTTCATCTGCGACTAACGTCTAACTATAAAATCCTGAAACTTGACTAGAAAAATTTTGAATCACAGCGACATTTCACACAACCATGCAGGACACAAACAACAAGCTCATGGAAAATCATAAGACATTTTTCAGCTCGCTTTTTTACTCAAAGTGTCATATAGGTATTCTCATTCTCGCCCGTGAACTTTTTTGACTCAATTAAATTGAACCATCTCAGTATTACATATTTTATAATGATATAAAACTATATACTATTACATAAATAAATAATATAGTATTTTATGCCTGCTAAAAATTCAATTATCATATCATTTTCTGAATTTCCATCAATTATAGAATTAACCTTTTACTCATCAAATTCACGAACGTACATAGGAGCGTGTAGGTCGATCTTAAACAAAGCTGCTAGAATCTACATGGTGGTGATGTAGTCACGCAACACTCAGATTTTAGTCGATGTCTCGCCACACGACGTGTGGAGGATGGGAAAAATCCTTCTCTCTAAAACGGGTAGAAGAAGGAATCTAACCAGTAGTTTGATAGCTGGCTAAAGCTTATCACCTCTTCTTCAGAGTCGTTAAGGAGCGCGACCAGATCGATTATTATGGATTTTTTGAACCGAGCGCATTCTCTTATATGAACCATACAAGACAATAATTCCGGTGCTAAGACAATTGAAGTTTTTCTTCGAAAAATTAACATACATTAATTAGGAAATGATATTGTTTTCTATGTAATATCGACAAATTATTGCAATCTCGTCAGTTAACCAATAATTCGTGATATTTTCTAAAATAAGCATTTTTTTATCCCTAACAAGAATAATAGTGATTGAGAAAGTAACAATAAGTCTGTTTTCTCCTCAACCAATTTTCATGCCAAAACCGTGAACCGCGTGTACACATAGATTTGTACATTTTTGTGGTGTTGTGCATGACAACTCATAAATAATGGCCCAATTAGGTATCGAAAGTAATTTCATATACTGGTTATGAATTTCAAGAAATATTTTTATACAAATGACATACAGGTTTGTATTGTACAGGTGGAGGTTACGTTCTCAGTCGCCGAGCAGTAAAAAAATTCGTCGAGGAAGCGCTTAAAAAACCCAAGAGGTGTAAAGCTACTGAAGAGCAGGGTGCTGAAGACGTTGAAATGGGTTCGTTGTCTGAATTTTTTCGCAGAATTTATGTAAAGAGTTGACCTATTGATCATATCCTGAGAACGCACCACTCTGAATGTTTTGGCTAGTTATTGACGTAAACATGTGCAATTAAAGACTTTTGAATTAAACTGCTTGCTTAATTGCCATGGATGTTCACACGAAGTAATACATTTAGTAAAGATGAACATGTACAACTTTTTGTCAAAATATCTACAATGTTCTTTCTTCATATTCACAATATCAACTTTTCATGAAATATTGTGAAGACTAGATTTAGCGAATTTAGAAATCAGGAAGCATTAATTTCAAGATGATAACAAAAATATGACTTTTCATCAAATGTATGACATACGTGAATCACGCTTAAATTAATTTTTATTCTTAAAACCTGATTGCAAATTTTAAGAACTGTCTCCCAGGATTCAGACGAACAACCGGTTGAACTCATACAAAACTCTTATATAACGAGTGTGTTAAGAAAAATAAGTTGGAAAATCCAACAATCCGATTCCTCAATAAAAAATTTGTGTTTATCACGAGCAACGAATTACAGTTCCTCGTTATCGTACTAAATCTACACTCACTGTTAGTCACTGATATAAGATTGCATTAAAATTTTATGATTCAACAGTAATTTATTGCGAAGTTTACCTTCGGGTTTTCTGAGAATTACTGAATGTATCGGGAATGTAATTTTTGAATAATCTTTATGTTTGCGATCACTTCTGCAAATTCAATTGTGATCTAGTTTGCTCGAGATCTGCTGAAAAGTCAAGAGATTACTCAAGATCTTTGGAAAAGGCAATCTTTTGCAATTTCATAACTTTCGTCCTTTCGTTTGTGTTGATACGCAGGAAAATGCTTGACCAGTGTCGGTGTACTGGCCGGGGACTCGCGAGACGGACGCGGAAGAGGTCGCTTCTTCCCATATCCACCCGTTTACCACCTCGTGCCGGGCAATTTGACCAAGCAGAGATGGTACTGGAACTACATCTACTACCCAACAAAAATAGTGAGTCTTGGACGAGTTGCATTCGAAGATGAGGCGAGTCATTAGAATAATATTCAAAAACAATGACATGAATTCAATCAATGGTGTTAAAAATACATGATCAAATTTCACTCTGTCACTGCGTAAATGTGGAATAGATATACTCGCCGAGCTTGGTGCAAGTTCAAGCACAATCGCAACAACCATAAGCTTGAAACTAAAAACTGAAATGAATCGGTTCACCATTAGAAATTCGTTGTTCAGCTGCTGCACGGAAGTAAATTAAATGCCCCTATGTTTTGTCATGTTTTCATTGAAATCGGTGCATTAATGGATTGCGCACCAAATTAAAAAGCAATTCAACTTACTCCACTGAAATTCATACGGCAGCGTTGTGAATGTCTGTAAATCCCAAATTGCTAATATAATCAAACATTTGATACTCAATACAATAAAATTTCCAGATTACAGCGTTGCAACGAGGACGTTTATTCAATTTTTTAAAGCGTTTTACATGTTACAGTTACAATATTGAAAAACGTCGTACAAGTAAAATCATTTCAATTTTACAACACTTCTCTTTACCTTCACTTCTTGTTTGTCTGTTTGTCTGTCTGCTACAAATCTTATAATCAAAATTTAACACACTTCAACTTATCCTAGCGATCTGAAATTTTGCACACTTGTGTGAAGTCGGAGGCAATGCTTGAATCAATTGACAGAATAAATAATTTTGAGAAAAAAAATTGTATATATGAAAAATTGAAAACATAATTCTATTAATATTCGAAAATAAAATGGGAAATTGATTGTACATCTTTAACATTGGAGACACTGGATTCTTTAGAAGTGTTGTCTTTTAAAAGGACTTTTTAAACGTATATTTTGTAATGTAACATCAACAGCACATTACAAGAATGATATGCTGTTATTAGTTTTCCTAATAATAACAACAACTTGATTATTATTTGAATTTCATAAATTGCTCAATGCAATTTCCTCAACAATATTATTATTATTTGAATCAAGTATTCCACACGATTCAAATGTCGTAAAGGAGGTCGTTACAATGTTGACTCATTTTATATTGTGCCAGTTAAGAACATTCTTTTTCGGTCATAGGGTTTGAGTTGGTGCGTAGTACGTGCTGGTAATGATTTTTTCTTAATCCCGGATTTCAGGCACTTGAGAGACTGTGACATGCTTGTGGCTGATCATCAAGGAGGAAAGAGCTTCCAGTTATTTGCTGCAATTATACTTCACAAATTTCACGATGGTTTCTTTCGTCTTCTCTCCACTTAAAGGTTAACTCTTGAATCGGATCTTTTAATCTTCTAAAGAGCTTTTAAAAGCGACTGTTAAATATTCTTAACTCACTACCGGGCTTGTCTACAAACATTGATGAATAAAGAAAAATGCAGGTATCCTTCAAATATTCTTTCAGGTTTGCATTCATCGTGAGGCATCATATGGATCCATGGTGCTGGCATACCTTCTATAGTACGTACATATTCTGAGGCGTTGCGCTAGTGCAGTTCTAAAGAACTGCTGGAAGGGCAACTTTCGGTGCATATTTGTGAAGATATTAATTGTTTGTCTGAGAACAGTTGTCCGCCCTCCGAACTTAAAACGTTTTTAAATTTTCATTCAAACGATTTAAGGGGAGCTACTGGGTAAAAAAATCGAAAATTTTTGCTTTTACGTTTACTGAGCTTATTATGTACCGTCAAACGGGGTAATAAGGGACGGTTTTGATTTCTGTTAATAACTTCTTACCATGAAATATTTCAGAAATGAGTTTGGGCTCATTTTGAAGTTATTTGCGAGGGCTATCGGATGGCATCTCCAAAAAAATCTATATGCTATACGTGAGGCGTCCCGAATTACCCCTGGGATCGGGGTAATCCGGGACACTTGCAATAAAACGGAATTTTAAAACGTTTGAAGCATGCAGAGTGTATTCATCCATTACTTACAGAATTCTGAAGTCCTCCTCTTTCATTGTAGATGATGTAGATGTAGAATAAATGACATTCTCTGTGATATTTACTTGTTTTTCCTATATTGAAATGATATTGCCATAATCAGTAATTACAGTATTATTGATTATTGATGCAATATTACCGTATCCATGAACATGCCATTGAGCATTTACAACGACCTTGTCCACTGCAAGCTTCATATCAGTAGCCATATAGCATTTCTTCTGTATCTGTAAGCTTACAGGAAGGCTTGTAATTTCACACAATTTTAATTTTGTTAAGTGAATTCACTATAAAAAATAAAGAAAAAACTTTTAAAAACCACGTTTTCTTAATGGACAAGAAAGAAAAATATTAACTCTTACATAACATTAAAGTATGTAGAATGTTACGTAAGAGTTAATGTTTTTTCTTTTTGTCCCTTAAAAGAAAACGCGGTTTTTAAAAGTTTTTTATTTGTTTTATTAAAAATGTTTTTTTATATCTATTTATTTCTACTTTTTAGTTTAGTAATTTTGGCAATTCAAATCATTTTGCAGGGTTGGCAACTCTGAATGTTTGACAAAAAAACTCGATTCCAAAACGTGAAATTTATTTTTTAATAAAAAACAAATTATATTATAAACTTAATACTTCTGATGATCAAATCCTGAATTATTCAAATCTTGAATTGAATCAAATCATGAATTGTTAGCATATTTTTCTTCAATCAATTTGCTTATTTGGCTCACTGGAACAATTAAAATTTCCAAAATACATCATCTTAAAAATCAATCTCCTCCTATGATTTTAAAGCTGCAGCATTGAAAGATTTAGCATTGGATTTGTAATAAAAATATTTAGCGATCATCCGGTAACTTTTTTCTTTACGTTATAGTTGGCATTATATGTTAAAAAACGGGAGAGGGGGCGAAAATTTAACACCAAAAAATTGGAATTTGGAAGAAGTAGTCGGGCAATCGTATTACGTTTCATGGTCTAAAAAATCGAATGATATGTCTCTCGATGTTCAGCACGTTAATTGAATTAGGAGATTTTTACTGTACTCCCCTATTTTGTCATTTTCTATGAATTATACGTTTTCTTTCATTTGTGTATAAAAATTTACACGAACAAAAAGTCTCAGATTTTTGTTTTACATAAGTGTACCAAGTTTCATAATTATCCGCCTGTACATTCTTTTTTGATCCAGACGCTCCCCTTAACTAAAATTGCCAACTTTCATAGACTGACCGGGGCTGTCGTTGTCAGCGTCGTGATGTAAACATATTTATTTAGAGCTGTAGCTCAACCGTATTTCAGCTAAATCGCAGTACGCCTCTGCTTAAGACGTCTTCTTGTTGACAGTGAAAAATTCACCGAGGAGCTGTAAGGCACGTTGCTCCAGGCACATGCTGTATTGCTGTACCCATCATTCTCCACAAACGTACTGGGTTAATCTTAACATACGGGGAATTTAAACTTTATTTTTACGTTGCTCAGTGATCTTTGCATTAGCGTTGTTGCTGAGGCCGTTTCTCATATACTCTAATACCAATAACTGTGTTATAGTTGACCGAACGCCATCACACGAATGTTATCCTTGCCTTTTTTACTGAAGATTTTCGACCATGTTATATCATTACCAGCAAAACACTGAGATTTCGATGTTACCAAAACTAACTTTGGTGGTCTTCATCCTGCACCCGCTAGCTACTTGGATGAGTACCAGACACTGCGTCAATTTATTTCAAATCTACGTGAAAACACTCAAAGAACGGTGAATTCACTTGAAATGTATTCTTATTTATTGGAATAGCGACTTCACAACGAAAACAATTTTTACATCTGACAGAAGCTCACACCAACCAAAACGTGAAACAGCTCACACGTGAAGGATTTGCGTGTTTGTTTAGTGAAGGAGATAAAGTTTCGTATGAAGATAAAGTTTCATATGAATGGGCAATTCAATGACCTTTTACAAGGTTCGACGCGCGTAACACACACAAGTATGTAATACGGCATGGGAAACTCCTCTGCGTTCAACGGAGTCAGAATCACAACCGTTTTTTTCCAGGACTGGCATTCTTTTAAGAAATTTTGGGGGCTCACATTTGCAGCTTGAGCGTCTTACATGAGATTTTACTGACATATATACTGTTAGGGGTGCAGTCTAATATCTACTCAGCTTCGTTCCAATTCTTTCACTCGAGAAATATGCGACTGTATTTAGAATTTGCTTATGACAACAGGTGGATTTAACGTTATGTTCCATGCAGTTAGAGATCACTTAACGGGATAAACAAGCGTCTTGCCTAATTATTATATTTCAAATTTAGATAAAAATTTCGTGCTGTCAAATGAGTTTATGGAATATTAGTCGTTAAACTTTCTAGATCAGGATGATAGAATGAGACATTAGGGCATTAATCAGCACCTATCTGGAATTCAGATAGTAAGAAATATTTTTTAAACAGTGCATTGTACTGTATATGAGTAAATGTATATATAATGTTTATTTACCTATTTTATGTTTGCAAATACATTTGAAGTTTGTATCAGGAGTTTGAGGATCCCTCATGAACACATATTGTTGATCTGTAGGAATTGATGAAAATTTTGGCTTCCTGATGAGGCTTTTAACTGCAGACTTGTTTCTTATATTCTTATATTTACACATGGTACCTTTCATGTCGGTATTCAATGGCACGGTTAATTTTCACATTCAAATGTATGGTAAAGTTTTAAAGGTATTTCAATTGGCAGTGCCTTAATAAAATCGGTATTTGCTGGCAGGTATTCAGACTCCGAGATTGAACCTAATACTCAGCGTGCTACTCTGCGTTACTGTAGCAGTACTAACCCTCCTATCCTTGGACACCCACACCGTTACTCATCGAGCTGCTTCGTCCAGCATGAGGTACTTGAGTATACTAGTGCCTTTTTGACATGTGTTCTACAGTGAAGTAACTATTCTCCACAAAGTTACCTGATCTTTGTTGAATATCGTCTATGTGACAGACCCAAGCTCTCAATTCATTTTTATGAATTGAGAGAATTTATGAACCTAAAAATCAAAAATTAGAATATAAACAAATTTTTATT